TGAAGTGAACAGGATAGAGTCTTAAATTCTGTAACAACCAAATATAAGTAAGCACCAGGCCCATGTCTGGTACAGAGAGCTGGAAGAAGGAGAGATAGGACATGTTGTATCAGCAGGTTGAAGGAGTCCCATCTACTCAGCACTAGTGACACCACACCTGAAGTGTTGCGTCCAGTCCTGGGCTCCCCAGTACAATGGAGACATGGACACACTGGAGAGTCCAGGAAAGGGCCACAAGGATGATGAAGGGACTTGGAGAATCTGTTATATGAGGAGAGGTTGAGAGAGCTGGGACTGGTCAGCCTAGGGAAGAGAAGGCTCAGGGGGATCTTACCAATGTGCATAAATACCTGAAGGGAGCGTGCAAAGAGGACAGAGCCAGGCTCTTGTCCATGACAGGACCAGAGGCAATGGGCACAGACTGAAACATGGGAGGTTCCCCCTGAACGTAGGAAACGCATTTTAATTGAAGGAGTGACTGAGCACTGGCACAGGTTGCCCAGGGAGGTTGTGGAGTCTCCATTCTTGGGAGATACTCAAAAGCTGTCTGGGCATAGTCCTGGTTAGCTGGTGTTCTCAGGGTCCCAGTTTGAGCAAGGGGGTTAGACCAGATGACCTTCAGAGATCCCTGCCAACATCAGCCAGTCTGACAGGGTCTGGTGGAAGGAAATTAGGTTGTCTGCTCCCTGAAAAAATCATCACAATGAAATAATCCTCCCATGTTATGTTAACAGCTTGAGTAGATGCTCTTCAGAGTTTAAAAATACAAATTATGGTCTCTAGGATTTGTTAAAGGACAATTTGTATCAAAATAGCGACACTAGGAAGGTGTTTCCTTCAAAAGGAACTTTTAATATGCCGTGGATTTGATTTGCAGCGCTGCTTGGGTCAATATGACATCAAGATTATTAGTTCTTCTAGGAGTTGTCTTTTGGCAAGGCAAAATGCATTATTTGTGTCTGTAAACACTGTGTTTCATGCCTTTCCACGCATTTGCCTAGAGATTCCTTGTAATTGTTTCTGCCTCTTGACAGCTTCTCTTACTAAATATTTTTTTGGCTGCTACTGGTTTCCACCTTCCTGTGGCACCAGCTTCCAAATGGTGTTTTGTACGGTTTGGTGTGAGCTGCCTGGAAGAAGAAGGGTAGAGATGTCCTTTGAGGTGCGGAGCTGAAGTGAAAAGTGATCTCCTGTGAAAACAGTGTTGAAGAGTGGCTCACTACACAGGTCCGTCATACTGAAACAAAAACTGCAAGTTATCTTTTTTCTTTTCCTTCTTCCACAGTCCGGATTCTTCTTACGAGACAATGACCAGCAAGTGGCCCTCTGTCTGGGTGAAGATATCTTCCAGCTGGATCGGCATCGTGCTGTACGTGTGGACTCTGGTTGCTCCGCTGGTTCTCACAAACCGTGACTTCGACTAAGCCGTGCTGCTCTCCAGGGCGGTTGTGCTAGCTGCACCTTGTCCTTGAAGCAAACAGTGTTCCAGAGAATAGTGCAGTTGTAAATAACGTGTGTGCTGTCCATGTAGTATCCCCTGATTTATTCTGCATGGTTACCTTGAATCATGTCGTTTGTCACATCACTAAAATGACTTTTTCTAGCTGAGCTCAGTGACAATTGCTATGACGGTGGTTTTCATAGGATTACTCCTAGGCCGAGTGCTTTGGAAGCATTAGCTGTAAGATCAAGACCTTCTGGAAGTAGGGTTTTTTTTTCCCCCTCGATTGCATTAAATAGTTGTAGGAGAAAAAGTGCAAGTGTTAATTAGGGTAACAAAACAGTATTAGATCCGGCTTTGCAAGCGAAGAAGGGGCTGCCTTTGATCCCTGTTGCCTTGATTCCAAAGTAAGTCTTGAGTAAGCGTCATTAGACTCAAAATCCTGCATGTTGGAGTTTCCTGGATGTCTTGCAGCGTTTTGGCACTGACAGCCTGACCTTTTCCTGTGCCAAGCGCAGCAGTACCTTTAGCACAGATGGTAAATGGGGAAACTTGCACCTGAAGCTGCGGAGGAGCTGACGTCCTCCTTGGCGCTGTCGGGTCTGATCTGGCCCATTGCAACGAAGAGGACACTCTGGGGAAAAACTTCCTGGTATCAGATGCTCAGAAGCATGTTTTTAAGGCACTTGTTTACAATGTGCATCTATGTATTATTATTTGTTTTTTTAAAGTAGTTTAAATGGGATAGCTGTGCTGTAATTTGTTGCTGATTTTTGTATGCCACTTTCTTTCTTGGCTAAGCTACAATCACAGTTTGCAAGGAGCTGAGTGGTAGAAACTGTGTAAGCCCTTTCGAGGGAAATTTGAGTATTGTGGTTAAAAAAAGTGGATGGAAAGGAGCACTGAAGTTACAGTAAGTAAGGGAGGCTTCTGTTAACTGAGGCTTCAGCAAAGCGTTTCTTAATGTATTTGAGGCTCTAAATTTTGAAATCTTTTAAGGTATCAGGTGTTTTGCTTGTTGTCTATTGCCAGAGATGGACTTGAGCCTGGAAAGCCTAAGTCTAGGCATGAGGTAAGACATGAACCTGTTTGATTAAAATACTGTGTAGTTCTCCTGTGCAGTAATGAAATCTTAAATGCTTTTGTGCTTGCTGCTTTGTAACTGAGGTGTGGAAGCTGCAATATTTCTCTCTCTCTCTCTCTTACTTGCTACAACTTGAGACTAGTGCAGCCCGAGGGGGAGTGACCCTGGAGCCTTCGGCAGACGTCATGCTGACCTGTTACGTGGTGTTCATACCGTTACTTCCTGTTGCTAATTGTTCTCTAAGCTTTTGTTTCAATTCTGCACCTAAACACTGATGTTTACTGCCTAAGTCTGACACGTCAGTCAAACTAGAGATGGTAACGGAAGGGTTAGTAAAGGCTTGTAATAATTTGGAATATGTTGTTAACCTTATTAATAAATAAATTTGGATGAAGATGTCCTGTGCAGTGACTTACTGCCAAACGTGGATAGAGTAGGCTTTAATACTGTGTTCTCATCTTCTGCTCCAGGGATGTTTTATAGCCCTTGTTATCTGGGAAGTACCAGCTGCCAGTGGTGCAAAGTACACCTGTGAGGCAGTCAGTCAGTTCCAGGCTCTTTGGGAGATCACATGTAACCCCGTGTGAAGTTTTCCAGCAGTTCTCTCTGTGCCCTATGCATCCACCTCTGAAAATATGACCACACTTGACACTTGTAACTGTATTCCTGCTTCCTCAGCTGCTGCTGTGCTGTATTGCACCTGTGCTTATGGGTAAAACACCTCAATACCAGTTTTCATGGAGCAGCTCCTGAGTCCTCTAACAAATGACTTGTCACCGAGTTAGGAAGATGGATAGCTGTGTCTTTGCATTCAGCTTCTTGTGCAAGTGGCTACACTACTCCTTTAAAAAACAACAAAAGCAAACATTGAATGCAGGGCCAGAGTTGTGGAAGGTGTTTTTCCTGTAGTATGTTTAAAGTTGCTAAAAACTTTCCAGGCTCTGGAAGAGCAAAAGCCCTTTCCCATCCACCCTCATTTTTGTACCAGGCATGATATGTCATGGAATACTGCATTGGCCAAGTTAGCCCTCAATCCCAGGTCTAAGTTCAAAGGGTGAGGGGAGTTGTGGGTCCTTTGTCCTGGCTATGCTCCCCCCTATCCTGTTGTGCTCCTGCGCACTGGCAAGAACATGGGAAGCTGAAAAGTCCTTGAAGTCTTGGTGCCAACTATAAACATCAGAGCACTATAAACATTCTTCTCATAACAAGTCCAGTCTAAAATCAGAACACAGCTCTTCTAGCTGCTCAAAAGAACTAACTGTCCCATCTGAAACCAGGACACCCTGTCACTGGAACATGGTACACACTGGAGCTTCTCAAAACTCCCCATCTGTGGCTTTTAGGGCAGAGAGAGAAGAAGCTTTTTATCTTCAGTTATGGTTTAACCTGCTGTTCCATGTTAAATTGAGAGCTGAGGGTGAGGTGATTTAGTTACAAGCATGTCAGCTGCACCTTCACCTGGTGGTGCAGGAACCCCTCTGACACGCAGCTGTGTGACACAGCTACAGTAAGGGCAGTTGAATAAACATGGCAGACTTGGGTAAGGGTGACAATGGAAATGCCCCTTTTGTGCAGAGGCGGAGCTCCTCCCCTGCAAGGAAAGCTACAGTGCTCTGCAGGAATTTTCAGTAAGAAAACAAAGGAGAAAACATTCTTTTTTTATAGTACTGAAGGGAAACAGTTTGCTGCATTAACCGCTTGTTTGGGAGGCTTATAAATAAACCTTGAAGTGTGGAGACATAAACTATTTTCCAATCAACATGCACAGCTGCTGAGGCATGAAAAACCCAGGCAATTAAATCCACATCCTCTTGGCACATGGAATAAGAGACCACTCTTAACAAGTATCACACTTAAGTAACATTTATTTTATCAGAGTAGATGGTCCAAGTTAAAAGCACTCATGCAGCCAAGGGGCCTGGCGGCTGTAAAGAACTTTTCCCTGGTTTGTGCTATGTGTGAGCACTTCCACTGAAGTGAAAGTAAGGCAGAACCAAGATTTAGCAAGGTACAGGCACTTTGTTCCCAGTTCAAGCAGGGAAAAGAAAAGCCTACGTCAGGTCCTGGTCCCCCCCACCCCCAAAAAGCCTCATGTTTGTTAAACAAAATGTTGTAAAAAATAGAAAAAACCCAAGATATGGAAAGTTGGTGCTCCCTAACCATACACTACTAGTTTACTCCATCATATGTAAGACCAGAAGTATAAGAAATGATAAATCAAAGCTTACTATTAACAAGTGTTCGGTTACCTGGGATATTTAGCGGTATGTGTCACGCCAAGTATCCGACAGCGGTACAGGAACAGCCGGACTTGGTATTGCCAACTGTGTCTAAGAGCCTGTCTAACTGTGGAGTTAACCAATCGCTTGTAGGAACTAACACAGGTGTTTTAGATTCCACATTACCTGGTTACAGAAAACAGTGATTTACAAAAAACTCATATACCAAACAATATTCTAAATAAATAGTTCATCTTCATCACTATGTACAAAGTCCCCGTTACGTTAGTTATCCAAGAACGGCATGTCCGTGTCCATGGGTGCGGGGGCAAGTTCACATAGATAGAAGAGTGTGGCTTCGCTCGCTTCTGCCCCCAGCCGCACCAGTTTGCTCTGGGTGGGCTCAGGATCCAGGCTGCTCTCCAGGAGCTCGTCCACTTCCAGGGGTTTGTCGACAGAGGAAGGAGTTCCGGCCATGGAGCTCCCGCTCTCAACGGCAGAGCCTGGGTTCCCATCGAGGAACGCAACGAGTGGAAACGCGGTGTACTGTATGAGCTGCTTATCTGAGGGAAAACAAAATGACAAAAACATTATCAGTTCACATGCCCTTCTACATGCAGAAGGAAAAAACAGAATCCAACTCACACAACTTATTTGAAGAATAATTGAGAGGTTTGTTTTAATTTAAAGAATTGTTACATTCATGTATAACATTATTTGCTCAGATTCTCCTGTAAAACACCAGTTTCTCTGCACCTGGTGCAGTGCCAAAACCCTGAAAAGCAAATGTAGTATTTGTTTTGATTATTTGCTTCTCAGCATGACACAAAACCAGACAAAGAGCACTGAGTAACTGAGATGTTTTTTAGAACAATGCTTGTTCAACTGTTAAACTGTTTCAATTAAACGCTACAACTAACCTGATTTGGGCTTAGAACCTTTTGTTTCCTGTGAAGCCACTGGACCAGCATTATTCTTGGTAGTTTCTATTCCCTTTGTCTCCACCTGGAAACGAAAGCAAAGTCTTAAAACTCACACTTAAGCCTTTTCCAATGCCACTAGAACACGACTGATCAACTACTAAAAAAAAAATAAATGACTCGCGAAGGGATGCAGTGGTATCAGTTACCCACACTAACAGACCCTGGCTGAGAAAATGGGAAACGGCAACACAGGCTGAACTCAAGCAAGAACCAAAACTCATGCTCATAAATGAACAGGACAAACTCAAAGAGTCTTTGCTCTACTGCTGATCCCTGTGTTTCTTTCCCCAGCAGACAGCACAGATGAAACTGTCCTGACAAACCATGTACCATGTTTGCAAGTGCTAAAATCTGAGAGGATAAACAAGTCAAGAGACTGGTACCATGTACAGGTACCGGCCTCAAGGTAATACGAGTTTTGAAGGACATGAATAATTAGATGATCTTTTCCCTTTTCTCTTTAAAACCTAACAAACAGGGTGAATTCAGCTGCAGTCTTCCTATTCTCATGGAAGTCTTCAGAGCCAGAGCACGAAATAAGTGCTATTATACCAGCAAAGGAAACAGTGAAGGATGACTAAAGTTTACATCTCTCACTACTGAGTACATGGAGAACGGATGTAAGACTTACTTTGGTATTACTGATATGATCTGTGGGATTCATCTGCACGGAGCTTGTGAAAAGCTGAGTAAGACAAAACACATCAAGTTTTAGGTATCTTGATGTTGCTCTTAAGAATACAAGAACATCACATCTGCAGGTGTGAGAATAATCCATGTGCTTAATGATTTCACCCTCTGTCAGGATTAGAGTTTTTTTTACAGGTAGTTACCACTTTTGCAAAGAAAACCTAGCTTTGGAGCATAATGCCTTGGAATTCTATGAACCTCAGTCACAAAGGAAATAACTATGTTACATCTAACAAGTGGTTCGCTGCAGTCTTAAAACACGGATCCCTTCTTATGTCACAAAGGAAATAACTATGTTACATCTAACTGAA